ACTTGATTCGGTTGCCAGTGAGTTTATCAGAAGAATACCCGGCTACAGTACACGTCAGTTGAGCGCTGTCGCTCTGCGGCACTTGTTTCCCAGATCGATCTCATATGCCAAGTCGGATGATTGCCACTAATGTCATGGTTACATGGTAAACATGATTAGGTTTATGTAACTCTTCGACATGATTATATGCCGTTGACAGTGTGTAACTATTCGAACTTCATGGTTGAACAAATATCTCAAGAAAATGAATCAAAGAAATAAAGTTTATGCTACAAGAAAGAACTTTCTGCTCTGTGCTTTTACTTTCTATTTCATGCAAACAAGTGACAGATCCAGGGGGCAGGAGACACCCCCCCCCATTTTTGAACAAACATAGAAGTGAGCGGTCTTGTCAGTCGGTGCCCCCAATTTTTTTTTATCAAAACTGGACTCGGACTCAGGTGGTGTGGACTCGGACTCGGACTCGGGTGGCGCGGACTTGGACTCGAACTCGGACTCGGGGGAGGGGGCGGACTCGGACTCGGGGGGTGTGTACTCGACTACAACACTGATACCTACACATATTTATGCACGTACACACATACACAGCATATGTAGCAAGCACATACGCACACACAGCATGCACGCACACTGTAGTATGCACACACCCACGCGCTTGCACCCACACACTCACATGCACACAGCCACACGCTTGCACCCACCACACACTCGCAGCACACCCCACACACCCAGGTGCGCGTTGCACACACACACCTCACATCGCACACACCCACGTGCTTGCATCCACACACTCGCAGGCAAGCACACACCACACGCTGCACCCACACACTCATATGCACACACCCACACACCCAGAGTGCTTGCACCGCACACAGCCATATGCACACACCCACACACCAGTGCTTGCACACACACACTCGCAGGCACACACCCACAGCTGCACCACAAACTTGCAGCATCATCGGCGATGGTACTGACCCACATGACGTCACAGCACACAACGCTTTGCAGCCCACACACTCACTCTGCGCACAGCCAGCGCTGCACCCAAACACTCGAGGCACACACGGCCCCGGCTTGCACCCACACATCTCCAGCCACACACAGAAACACACAGACTTGCACCCACACTAAATTGCACACCGCCCACCTGCACCCACACACTCACATGCACACACGCGACAACCTTGCAACCAACACACTCACATGCACACACAGAGCCCGGCCGCGCTGCACCTACACATCTACGAGTTAGCAGCAGCAGCCACGCGCTTGTTTGACACTCTACAACATCGCAGACACCAGATCCCCACGCTCCTGACCGCCACACACACCGCAGGGCACACACGCACACACCCAGGCTGACTTGCACCCACAACTCACCATGACACATCCGCACGCGCTTGCACCCACAACACTCACATGCCACACACCACACGCTTGCACCCACACACTCATATGCACACACCACAACGCTTGCACCTACACAACTCACATGCAGCACACCCACACGTCTTGCCCCACAACTCAATATGCAACACACCCCACACGCTTGCACCTACACTCCAGACATGCACACACGCCACACACTTGCAACGCACACACTCTCACATGCCTCAGCACCCACAGAACGCCTTGGCAACGGCCAACACTCACATGCACACACGCCACACACCAGGTGGCTTGCACCCACACACGTCATGCATGCCACACCCCCACACTCACATCACAAACGCCCACGCGCTAGTGCACCCAGCACACTCACGATGCACGACACACCGCACGTCTTGCAGCCCACACACTAATTGCACACACGCCGCAAACGCTTGCACCCAACACCACATGCATCACGCGCACGCTTGCACCCACACACTCACATGCACACACACCACACGGCTCTGGCAGCCCACAACTCAGGTGCTTGCACCGCAGACACTCGCACGCACACCACGCGCTTTGAACTCACCACACGACGACGCGCTTGCATCCCAACACACGTGCGTTGCACTCACACACACCACAGCACTCTCGGGCACGACTACGGTACACACATGCGTCGCAGCCGCGACGCCGCCACACAGACACACGAACAATTAGCATGCACGAGGTTCACTTGTATATACCTCACCCTGCACTAACACACATCCCCCTGAAACAGTCCACGCTCCGACAGCATACAGCGCACCCTTTTCTACATCTGCGCTCGCACATGCAGAGAATCTTTGCTGCTTATCACTGGCGCACGCCCCGCTCAGAACAAGAGTAAGATGCATAAAATCATACAATCACACACTATGTAATCAAAGACGAACAAACCTTTTATATACCAAAACAGACAATGCCGCATGGCAGTGGTGAAAATTTCCCCAAAATATGAACCCTTAGCCAGCCGAATCTTTGTGACGGCTTACTGTTATGATAGATCTGATTGCACTGGTCCATAGTATGCTCCGAACACGTATATCTCTATACGGTGATGTAAGTATGCCGACATACCGTGTCTTTGTAATTGTTATGCCTCTCGTTATAGCATGGTTCATCATGATGCTGCAGCACATATGTGTTACAGGCTCAAGTAAAAACGCGCGCACGCACGCACGCACGCACACACTGCAATATATGCAGCAGAGGACATATAATATCTTCTTCGTAGACCATGGCAGAGGAGTGGTTAAAAAGTTCTAAAGGATTTTAATGATGGGCTTATGATTAGAATTATGATCAGCTTGGGTTGGGCTAGAGTTCATAGTTATGTGGATAGGATTAGGGTTAAGGTTAGAGGTTTATATTTAGGGTTTGTGGTAGTTCATCCATTGCAGCCCTTCGTTCATAGCTTGCTCACTCACTCACATGTTCCTACATTCACTTTCTGCTGTACTCGAGCAAAGGGCAACATGGGTAGAGCAAGCTAGCTTACGGTCAGAGAAAGTGAGGTAATGGTGACGATTGATGTTTTGGCATCCCAACCTACGTTTCCATCACTATGTCTACTGCTATCATTCTTCAAGAAGTCACTTCTAGTTCTGGTAACAAGCAGTAAAACATCGAATTGTCTCATATCAACGGTGTACGTTATTTCGGGTTATCACTGCTGTGTAGGTTTCTGCCACTGCTGCGTATATCTGCTGTTATAAATCTTCAATAAGTCAGTTCAGGTAACAAGCAGTAAAACATCGAATTGTCTCATATCAACGGTGTACGTTATTTTGGTTTATCATGCGCATATTTCCTGATCTAGTTAAGTGACGCTGGCATCATCACTGATGCTGTGACATACTGCAATGTATTGGATGCGTACTAAGATGTAGATTTTATCTGCATATTCAGCTACACCATACGTCATAATTATGTTTCACACGCTGTGAAATGGATGCAGAATCTTGTTTTCTAGGACGAACAGACAAATTAAATTAACAGAGTAAATTCACCAGCCTCACACTTTTTACTAGTTGTAAAGAAATTTATTATTTGTAATGTGTGGTGTCTAGATGTGACTAAGCAGCAGGAATCCTGCTAACAATTGGTCACTATGACAATTTCACCCAATCACGTTTTGTCACGTTCACATGGAAATGCTGGTATAATAGCATTGAATTTTAAATTACTCTGCTTTCTTGCAATTTTAAGTAATAACACACTACGAAATCACGAATTTTAAGGAATAACAGACTACGAAATCACTACTATTTAAATGTGTTCGTCTCATGAAGAAACTGGCAATATCATAGTATCTAGACGTTCATTTACGTTTGACAGCAAACGGAATCTCTTACTTAACAAACAAGGTAGCATAGCCTGCAGATCATGAGACAAACCTGAAACACATTATACACCCACGACTGTTACTCCACAGTTACCTACTCATATACTGGTAGAAAATGCACATATAGGGTCAAAACCATATCCACCGCACGTGAACGTAAAAACTTGTACACACGAGTACGGACGATTCATTTTCGGACACCTTTAACCATCAGTAACTTTCGGTCAACCGTGCAAATGATCTGTTGCCATAAAACTCGATCTCCATTGCCGTATATATAATAATCCATGGCATGACCACCAACTGTACACAGTACACATCCTACCATCTACCCACAGCAGAGTCTCAACAACCAGCCTACATTTTTTCGTGTACCTGCTTTCCGGCTTCACAGAGATAATTAATTAATACTGCCACCAGAGTTGTAATTGTCATCAGAACTGCTGTGATGGTGGGCACAGTCAGTGCGGCTGTAAGCTAGACTGCAGGAACAGCTGTTCTTTTATTTGATAAATGTATTTGGTTGTACTAACCGTGCCGTGAACGTAACTCATGCTCTTGCTCGTAGGGATGTTCAATTGTTGGACACAGTCGGCATAGCTTGTCACCGCTGATTCGTGCCCGTGAACAGGTGACATAAACCCCGCATGATACGTGTAAAGCTGGGTTTACACTACCGACTTTCTGTTGGCGAATTGGCAAATTGGACCAACTTTACAACCGACAATCGGCAGTGTAACCGCAAAAGTTGCACGACCAACCGATCGATAGCAACTAGTTGGGTGATTAGAACATGTTCTATTTTCGCCAACTCGGAAACATGAAGTCGGTAGTGTAAACCCAGCTTAACATGACAGTGAAGGAATTACGATGGGTGACATCTACATCAGCCGTACTACTTTGGCACTGCGACAGTGCACACGCAGACTCGGTAGTCTCCACCTTGTTCTGGTAGGAAATGTTACCGAATCAATAGCTTGATTGCGCAAAGAAGTGCACTTGAGGTCGTGTTACCAGCATGATGTGGATATGACGTAGAAACATGTCAGTATGTGAGGTCACCATCATGATCATTCAGGTTCATACACTGTGACGAGATACTAAACATTTGACTTAATAAACATTGATTTATAAAATCCATGAATGGGGTGTATGTGTGTCTATACACACATATATGCACACACATGCACGAGTGCACCCATGCTTGCACGTGTATGTGCTGATAAATTCAGTGAGCAAAGCTTGCAAAGCCTTACAAAAGTGGTAATGATTAGGAACACCAACAATTCCAACATTGGACCAAAAAGAACACACCGGGGAACAGTACATTCCTGTTGATAAATCTACAGAATGGACTAAATGAATGAAATGGTATCATGCGAGAGAGTGACGAGGGCCTTATATCCCTGCGTTTACCCATAACGTAATACAGTGAAGAGTTAGTCGATTTCATCCATGGAAGGAGCTGGTCCAGTTGCTGTTGGTCGACTGCCCTCGGACTCCGCAGTTGGTGTGGTACCCGGTGAGGAAGCACCACTTGGGAAGGCTCCAGGGAAACCTAAAGTCACAAAAGCTTGTAGCTCAACATTTGCGGTAAGGCCGAAACATCACACCACATGTACGATGAGCACACAAGCCTTCTAAAAACCAAAGCGTCACCAGTAACGTTCAGCATTTGAAGTCCCATTTATTCACATTCGAAGTTTGAAAAGAGAATTACAGAATCGACAATTATTGAATTCCCAATACATGAGAGTTTACCAAGATTTGTTAATAATAAAGACAAAGTTAATTATATACATTATCCACTCATTACCCTTATGTCTACACCATAGACCAGTGACCCACCATTATCTCATGTCAGCGACTGGTCACCAATGTGTGGATGAAAATAGAACACTGAATTCAACCAAGAGCATACATACCTCCTCCCATACCTCCCATACCTCCCATTCCTGCCATCCCAGGCATGCCTGGTATGCCACCAGTGCCACCCATGCTTGCAGCCATCTTGGTCAGCAGTCCCATGACCTTTGGATTGTCCTTATACTTTGCGATATTTGCCGGGTTGGTGCTGACGTCTTCGAAAGCTTTCACAGTTTCAGGGTCCTGCATGAAATGAAGATCAATGAAATGCTATCCACTCCTGTCCGTGGTGACGCCATAATAACAAATGCACCAAAATAGTATAATATATTCGAATATCTAATATTACTTAAAGTATTAATCGAATAGATAGAAGCCAGCCTATAATTTATAAAGGACATAATTCAGTGTTTCTCTTGGCTTACAATTATATGTTGAAAGCACATCTATATACAAACACTTGTCGATGAAAGACACTTTGTGTTTCTTCAGACTGACACTTACAATGGTGACATCATATCTATAGAACGTACGCCTGTCTATAAAGGGCTGTTTTGTAATTTCCCTTAAGTGCCCCTTAAACACAGGTTTACTGTATGTCAGGAGTGAATAATGAAAGTCTGTCACTATTCACCCCTGCTTTATAACTATCTGTGTATATTCGCAGATGTGTTTCATATACGTACTTGAAATGCAGCCATTATCTCTGGGTCAGAGAATATGTTCTGGAGGTTAGGCATGCCGCCGGGCATTCCACCAGCAAATCCGCCGAAATTCCCTCCTGGTGCTCCCTCATGATCTCCACCATGCGCTTGTCGCTCCTCTGCCTCCTAAATTACAACACAACACCAGGGGTAGAAATTAACATTTGAACAAGGGAGTCCAACTGCCCTCAAAAAGAAGAAATCCGTAGCAAAATGAGGGAGTCCGCAGTCTAAAGATCAAAACTAAAGATATTAGCAATAACACATGTGCTTATTTTGAAGATTCTTTTTGGACATTTGCTGGAAAAATATGGCAATTCCGCGAGGCCGTACTATGGAAGGAACTAGTTACTATAGCAGAATTTTCAGGGAGTCCGACAGTAAATCAGGGAGTATATGACTTGGGACTCGCGTTAATTTCGCACCCTGCAAGACAACAGTGCTGAATATTTCTCATCCATCCTACACATACAAACACGCACTAACAACGCAGCAGCAAAACAACATTCATAACTATGCAGAAAATAACATACAAAACAACACACTAAACAACTCGTAAACCCACATCACATCCTACATACAAAACAACACACAAACCCACATCACATNAAAGGCTTACCACAACTTATTTAGTATGGCCGGTTGGCCAGAGAAGGGAGTTATAACGAGAGGTGACGTAGGAAAGGGAACGCCGTATAAATAGGGGAGAGCAGCCGCTTCTCGAGGCTCTTGGACCAGCCACCCGCTGAGGAAGGTGTAGTGTGTAGTAACCGCTCTTGCTTTCGGTAGTACACGGAGACCTCATGTATTGTATTAGAGATTGAGTAAACACCAGTGACGTTACTTCTTGTCTTGTCTTTATCTATCTCTATCAGTCTACTACAGACCCTCTTACAAAGGTAGTGCGAATCACGTGTCTACAATATTGTTGTTTATGTGTTGTACATGGCAGGCGTTTTAGCAACGGTGTATCTTACCGACGCGTACCACTATTACGATTCAAGATAGAATAACGGCCTGTTACAACGTGTTCAAGGCAATGCTTGCATAGCATGTGCCCAATGCCACGCCCTCTCATGTCACTGCGCACAATAAAGAGACCAGCAAATGCCTCGTCTCCAATCACTACAGAGTTCACATAACCTGCAATGGAAGACAACACTAGGTTTATTAATAATGTAATCAAGAATACGATGGCTGGGTCAGTCATCAGTGGTTCTTCAATTCCCTCTATTATATTATACACTGTTCAATTGCAATGCCCATGTACTGGTCACATATACTCATATATACATATCTTATAATCATATACAGTTATTCTACTCATAAACCGCATGCTTGTACTCATCACTAGAAGCAAGGCCAAGCAATAACATCAAAAAATCACAACCTAATCGCGTACAACATAAACGAAACATTGCTAAATACGGAGCGGACACAAAAACTACGGGTCAGAGTCAGACGCAAGCAAATACTAGCCGATTAATTAGGTGACGTCATTGGTCGTTTAATTGTCTGACCGACCCGGCGTCAGCATGTCTCACGCTCAGCAGGAATACCGGCTACGCTAGAAGGTAACATGTTTCCGTTGAATATACGGAAGACATGTGGTACTCGAGGGCTCCGCGTAATAGTAGCTTGCAGCACACGATAATTTTGGGATAATTTATCCCAAAATTGCTGCTGGGATAATTTATCCCAACATTGCTGCTACAGATAGTTCATATGCAGAACTTATATATACGTACCGACTGGTTCTCCACTAGGTAACATTGCCGTGAAAGCTCCGCTGCCTTCCCCAAACTTTAGCATTAACCTAAGCGCCTTAAGCTCGATGTCTTCCTGTATGAAATCTTGCCACCATTTTGTCACATACGGTAGATCTGCTTCGGTAGCAGCTCTGACCGTACACACACCTGCCATGGTGTCTAATGTCCAGAGAGACATGATACAAGGTTGCGTAGCACAGCGTTGCTGTTGATCCTGAGCGCTGCGCGCGGATGAGAAGCGCAGTTCCGCGGAATATGCGCATGCGACCGCGGGGATGTTCAAGTATGAAGCGCTGTCCGCAGTGGAGACGTGCGCCGAATTCGAGGCCCGGCGCACGTCTCCACAGCGGTCAGCGGATGGTCTGTAGTTTTAGAAGATAACAATAAAGACTTTGTTCTAAATAAGAACTATGGGCGGCTAAATAGGAGAAATATACAGACCTTCGAATTGCTTGACTAGTTAGTCAATAGTCAAAGGGTTGTTGGGGAGATCATTTATGCATGAGCTTCTCAATGAAATGCGCCCATTTAAATTGTCAAGTAAAATTGTGTTTTTCGGAACCCACCCTCGCATACGGCAACAGGATAGTATGGACCAGCGTGCGAGCGTGTGTGTCTGTTGTGTGTGTGTCTGTCTGTCTCTCTGTCTGTCTGTCTCTATCCATCTCTCTCTCTCCCTTTTTCTCTCTCTCTCACACACACACACACACACACACACACTCTCTCTCTCTCTCTCTCATCTCCTCTTCTCTCTCTTTCTCGTCTCTCTCTCTCTCTCTCTCTTCTCTCTACACACACACACACACACACACACAACACAGTCCACACACACCAGTCGCACTTTTCTCTCTCTCTCTCTATTCTATCTCTCTCACACACACACATCCCACACGCTTTCTTCTTTTCAACCTCTCTCTCTCTCTCGCTCCCTCTCTTCTCTCTCCTTCTCCACACACCACACACAACAACCACACACAACACCCTCAACACAACACACAACTTGCTCGTACTCTCTCTCTCTTCTCTCTCTCTCTTTTTCTCTCTGCTTTTTTTTCTCTCTCTCTCTCATCTCACACACACACAATCCCACGACTTTCTCTTTCTCTCTCTCTTTTTCTCTCTCTCTTCTCAACACACACACATCGCACCACACACACCACACACACACATCACACTTTCTTTCTCTCTCTCCTTTCTCTCTCGTCTCTCTCTCTTTCGCTCTCCCTCTCTCGCGCGCCTCTCTCTCTCTCTCACTTTCTCTCTCTCCAGCAGCACCGCGCGGTGTAGTGAATCGTAGCTTCAGCTAGCGAACGAAGCACAACCACTCTATGCTACGGTATTGCTCCAGGATCAATCATCTCACAGATTACATTCTTACTAACTATCATACCTTAGCGAGTGCAGAGCAGCTAGGACTAATCTTGTCTAATTATTCTTTTACTTTTGGACAATGGCGCGTCATTTTATGTCTCCTCTCTCTACTCACCTTTCTCTATCGCGACGCACGCGCACGCTGCCTCTGATCGCTTGATCTCTGGACCTACTTCGCTTCGGTTTTCTACACTTGCTCCGTCTCGTTGTTCCTCTCGCACTTCCTATTTCGGCATTTCGCAGCTTATCGCCTCCTACGTCTCTCTCCAGTGTTTCCGCCTTTCTATCGCTCGATAGTCTCCGCCATCCATCCCGTCTCCCTTATGCCCAATCCGACCATAATTCCCCTCCAACTGCTCTCAATTATTTCCTCCAAGCCCATAGAATTTTCGCTAGCATAAGGGCCCTTGAACAATAGACGAATGAGTCTTTCAACGAGTGAGACGTTTTCAGTCGATTTTGTATCATTTTAATATTTTACATAATATATTTTGTTGTGCTGAATTCATGCATGGCAACCCTAGTCTGCAAATGGCGATCATAAAACCAGAAACTGTTTCATGAAAAAATATTAAATATTTTCACGGAATGATCTGTTTTATATGACTTCTTAGCTAGCTAGCTGGGATTTGTCACAGATGTAAACAATTTACTACTCTCTATGATTGCGATCAAACGACAATTTGTTATGCTGGTAAAGGTGCGATCGAGGAGCGAGCCAACCATGTTCCTAACATCATCATTACGATTTCAACGGATACGATTCTAAAGGAAGTCTTGAGATAATGAGAGGTCCAAATTAAGAACAGACGCCGACCTTTTCCAGTGTAGCTTCACTCGTGTTTCGCTGGCATTCGCTTGTAAATATCTCAGTGCGAAAGCCCCGAGCGCCTCTACCATTCTTGTAGCTGGTATGTTGCCGCTCGGTGTATAGTTGCGCGACTCAGAATCCATCAGGTAAGGCCATTAACACATGCATCATCAGCGTGGCTCTGTTAAGCGGCTCCGTGTCACCGTAGAGCATGCGGAAGATGCTATAATTTAATTTGCCTGACACATGTTGACGCAATAACAAACCCGATGACCTTGCCTTTCAGTCATCTGCTTTACAAACGTCTGCTTCTTAATAGGCCTGTATGTAGGTCGCAGATAGTCCCTCTACGCGGTCGGGTGCCCAGACGATTGGTCCACGTCGTAGTCGAGTACAGCTTGCCAGCCATCTCCTCGCATGTTATGCGCTTCACTATGATATTAGCATAATCTTTCGAGCTTCAGGATGCTGCGAGCTTGGCGTGAATCGATGCGTGTAGTGTCGTACGTCAGTCTGAACGACATCGACGGTGAAGCCTAGCTGTCTTTGTTGGCTCTCCACCGCCCATCACAAGAGTTGATCGCGAAATTGCGGCTGCCAACGTGTTCATGTCTGCGGCTTGGTATTAGCATCGCCAATGCACTACCTCTCATGTCACTGCGCGACAATGCAAGTAACCGCACAATGCCTGGTCACCAATCAATTACAGCTGAAACAATAACCTGGTAATGGAAGACAACACCGGGGCGTGATTCATAATGGTGTCAGGACAAAACCCCCCCGGACAATCCCCCCCGGACATTACCCCGGACAATACCCGCCGACAATTACCCCCATGCCATTTTCCCCCATGCCACTTCCCCCCCCGCCGACAATTACCCGGACATTTTACCCCCCGACAATCACCCCCGGAATTTACCCCCGGACATTACCCCCCGGACATTCCCCCGACATTTACCCCGCGTGACAATCACCCCCCGGACAATTACCCCCCGGACAATTACCCCCCTGGACGATTTCCCCCGGACAATTACCCCGGACAACTTACCCCCGGACAATTACCCCATGCCTAATTCACGCCCAGACCAGTACCCGGACAATACCCCCGGACAATTTACTCCCCGGCAATTACCCCCCGCGAACAATCGACCCCCGGACAATTACCCCCCGGACTATACCCCCCGGACATTTACCCCCTGACATTTACCACCCCCACAATTACCCCCGGACAAATTACCCCCGCGACATTTACCCCGCTCAAACAATTACCCGAACCATTACCAGCTCGACAATTACCCCCATGCGCATTCACCCCCCGGGGACAATCCACCTCCCCGGACAATTACCTCCCGGACATTACCGCCCCGGACAATCTACCCCACGGACATCTTACCCCCCCGACATTTACCCACGGATATTACCCCGGACATTTACCCCCGGACAATTACCCCCGGACATTTACATCGCCGGACATTTACCCTCCCGGACATTTACCGCCCCGGAAATTACC